CGGATCCCGAGCTGGACGCCCGGCGGAGAGTCGCCACCTTCAAGTACGAGGCGAGGCCGCTCACCACGCAACACTACGACCCGGCTACCGCTGATTGCAGACCGTGTTCCGATTCCGAACTTGAACTGGCATTCTGCACAAGTGATCTAGGTAAGTCGTGTTTTGGAGTAAATATTATCTAATATCTGTTGGCTGTCTACAGTAGACATAAAACTAAAAGTACATTAGAAACTTTTCCAGCCCTCTCATGAAATTTCTAGTTTTTTAATTCTTTATTTTGATATCAGTTTTCGGAAATAACGATGCTTTGAGAAAATGTTGACTTCGTTTTCCCACAGTAACTTTTCTTCGAAGTAAAAAATCAGCAAATATAAAAAGCGCGACACATTTTTTACTCATCAACATTCATTCTTGTATTCTTTTTAACCAAAAAACTAGACGTCGGTCTTCTTAAGTAAAACTCAAGCGACAACATTCATTCGAGACTTAATGCGGAGTGCAATTCTAAGAACACGATTACTCGTATGAGATAACAACGCTCTGCAAGTCTTGATTTACGGAAGCTCTTGACTATGCAATAGGATATGACGATCGCTACTTAGATTCTATTAAGGTCCATAACAAGCAAACCAGTACCGGCCCGACTAGTACGTAGGCACGCGACGCGGCAGGGAGTGGGTCTACAATGTTTTTTGTACTCGTTTGATAAATTATAATGGACGCTAGTTATGTCAAAGACACGCGCCCCGCGGGGCAGTGGGCGGCTGCGTCGCCCGCCATCGGCACTGCTCTCAAATTTTCGAATGTAATATTATTTTAATATAGATTATAAAAATTATTTTAAAGTTCCTTCGATTTGTAAGTTACACCTTGATTACTACTGTTTGTATTAAAACCTGAATAACCAAAAACTATAGCGAATTTGTAAGATGTTCGTTACCTACCTCTCATTTGTCGTATATTGAAGCTACAATTTTAACCGAAGTAACACTCTTATAAAGTGATAAGTGAAAATAGTTTTGTTTTGTAAAAAAAGGGGGCAAACGAATATTTCGATAAAGGTGAACATCACAATTTTTCTAACAATGCAATCACCTTTATCTGACAGGTATTAAGATCAGATAGGTCATTTAAAATCTATAATTAAACGATTTCGTATAGAGAACAGAAGACCGTGGCAAGGCAACTATTCACTTATCTCTTTCAAACAAAAGCTCGGTAGAAAAAATGTTCATTTTGCGCTTACTCATGGCTCGGACAA